CAGAAGTGTTCACATAGAGATTGAGACTACTTCTGCCTCTTTATGTCATTCAGCCCATGTTTCCCTGGGTCCCACACTAAGTGGAGAACACTGTCTGTATGAGCCAATCAGGGCATGATACTAAACTTACATGACCAGCTTTATCAGAGACTTGGGATGAGAACTACATGAAGAATTCTTCTTCCTGTGATACACCAACATCATCTTTCATAGAATATGAAAGAGAGATATTGAGCAAACTATAATTTAAATGTAAATAAAACTAAACTATATAATTAGCTAGTTTATTCTCAAAATTCAATCTGATCAAAACGTTTACTACTAAAATGTTCTTATAATAAAATACGGTTCTAAAAGAAATACATAAACATTTTGTTAGTTGTATGGAATCTTTCCACTGATGCATGAAAGCTAGATCTTATGTGGAAAATGCAATATAACAATATTATTTTATGTAGTCACATATTAAGTAAGTGAATAATAAGTAAAATGTTATAAAAACAATACAATTTCAAATGAGGCCTCTAAAATATTCTCTAAAGGGGAATGTTGCAGAAATTATGACTTAGTGGAAGTATTTATCAATAAAAATTAACAAGCATTTATCAAATTGGCTAAAATTATAAAGGATATATCTATTTTTCTGGGAAGCATCACAGAGTATAATTAAATACAAATTTAAGAACATCTTCTCTTATGACAACTCTACTAAGCTTTAAATTTTTCTTTTATTACTAGAGACTACTGGAAAAGTTGTATGGATTTACAATATAAGAGATTATTTTTTATAAAACCTGTTGTTTATCTGAAGGCTTATAAGTATAAATAACTCACTGAAACCTATACTGTATATTGAATTATTCACCACAGGAGAAATAAATGTGAGTCAATACAAAATTCTTTATATACATGTATGCATTTATCTGTAAAGAATAGACATACAACCTGTCCTCAACTAACAATGAATCTACTTATAATGTTTTGATTTTACAATGTTGGTGAAGGCAGTGCTTCTAGAAAACAGGCCTTCAATTTTTGACATGTAATCTTTTCTTGGGTTAGTGGATTGTGGAATTAAACTTTCTTACAATGCTGGGCTGTTACAGAGAGGTGCAGCTCCCAGTCAGCCACAAGCCCTGTGGTGGACTGCCAATGCCCTACTGTAAACTAAGTTGCTAAACTATAGCCATCTGTAGACTGGGCAGATTGAAAAAATACAGTTAATCCATGTTGGGTTTATCAGGATTTAACCTCACTGTAAGTTCATTAGTATCTGTATTTAAAGGTACATATATACATAAACCTATGAAAATTTATATATAACTGTGTTAAATACATATGTGAATGTATGTGCCTTTTTATGTACCAAAATGAATATAGGTTATTTTAAATATAATCTCCCCCCTACTTTAACATTTATTTAACTATTATTTTAATCAAGGGTCATATATTGTGAAAGCTAAAGAGAGATAAGAGGGGAAATAGGCAGTAGAAGAAAATCTCAAAAATAGAAGAGAGAACAGTAAAGTAGAGGAAGTGTATTGGGGAGAGATATGAAAGGAGGAAAAATAAAATAAAATAGTATATTCTGAAATATTTCATGAAGGACAATTTATGCAATGCCTTGCCAATAGTAAATGATCAATGATTATCTACTAAATTAATATTGCTAGTAAGAAAAATTCCATTCTGTGATAAAATATTTTATTTCAACAAAATATTCATTAAGATGACAAATATTGAAATGCTTCTTTAATGAGAATTGCTTTCTTAATTTTAAGTTGAAAAATATCTTCCTTTATTTTTTTAAGATGAAAAACTTGGTTTCCAATATTGTAATTTTCTGGCTTATATAAAAACTTTATTACAAATATCTTTAGTCATTTCATTTTGTTTCTTAACTATAACAACAAAATCTAACTAGATGATAAAATTGCAAACAAACACACATATGGCTGTCTATATATATATATATATATATATATATATATATATATATCACAAAAAGTTACATACAAAACCTTTGTATAGAAAAATAATGTTTAAATATGTTGTGGAATAAGATAAAAGAGGGAAAATATTAAAATAGCAGCTATTTAGATGACTTCTGTGTTGCTTAAATTTAGAACTTAGAAAATATTGTAACTCAAGATCATTATTAGATTTCTGTCAGTGTGGGTCTGAGTGGTGTTCCCAAGACACAGTAGTGTTATATCATCTTCTAGAGCCTAATTGGCGTGGGTAGAAGCACATGTAAAAACAGTCTATAAATAAAATGTATTTCCTCAGATACCTTGATTCAACCTTGTCACTGAAAAGTGATGGACTGAGAATAGAACTGTTCACGGGTAACTTGGAGAAAATGACAGGCTACCACCTTGAGTAACAGAGACTCATTCTAGGTCAGCTGTAGGAAGGGAACTAGAGAAATGAGTATTTAAAACATGGCAATATGTTCCCAGGCTAAACGCAATGCTATGAGATAGTAAACAAGTCCCTCTGTTATTTTCCTGAAAAGTATTATAAAACACTTATTAGCAGTAAAGACTTAAGCATTACTAAAAACTACCATCAAGACCAGAGTTTCTTTACTATGGCACTATTAACATGTTGGGGTGTGAACAGTTGTGTTGTGCATGTGGAATATTAAGTAACATATCTGGTCTCTCCCCACTAAACACCAGTAGCATCTCCCAAGTTGTGACATTCAAAAATATCTTCAGACATTGCCAAGTCTTCCTTCAGGGGAAAAACTCTTATATTGAGTATCACGGCTATAAAAATGCTAATAAAAATAATTAACATGGGTTCCCTATTTTTGCTACTTCTACTCTTTTAGAGTTTGACTTTAGTATTTTCTTCTCCTGCATTGGCTTGGCTACATTTTAAATATTTTCATGCTAAATCAATAAAAAGAAATTGCCTTCATCTCTGTTGAGTTACGCCTCCACAAAAAAAAAAAAAAAAAAAAAATCCTTTGCCAGCGAATTTTCTTGTAATGTGATATATAGTCAACTTTTTTTTCACTGTGACCAAAATAGCTGACAAGAAAAACTTAGAGGAGTAAAACGTTATTTTTGACTCCTGGCTTCAGAAGTTCAGTCCATGATTGGCTGACTATATTGTTCTAGGCCAGGGGTGAGGCAGAAGATCATGGCAGATGGTTGCGGTAGAGGAAAGCTTCTCAGCTCCTGGCAGGAGGATCCAGGGGCAAAAGGCACCTAAGGCACTCCTGCAGTCTCCCATTTCCTCTAACCACACTCACCTGTCTACATTCACCACCAAGTAATCCATTCAAATTATTATTCCATCCACAGAATTAATTGACTAATGCTGATACAGTTCTCATAATCTAATCAGTTCAACTCTGAACATCATCGTCTCACACATGAGTTTTCAGGGGATACCTCATATCCAACCATAACACTGATTTAAGTTTAAAGTGATTTTTTAAAATAATATTCTACACCAAACTGACAATTCAGAGTGTTTTTAACCCTTCTCATGATAGCAGTGTGAGAAAAAAAGGCTCTGTGTGTGTGTGTGTGTGTGTGTGTAAGAGAGAGAGAGAGGGAGAGAGACAGAGAGAGACTAACATTCAGAAAATTCCTATTTAGAAAAGTAGACTACTATGTCTAGAGGACTTAGGGTTCAAGTAAAATGATCATATCAATATGTCCTTCTTCCTTACAATAATAAAAAAAACAGATTAACAATTTCAAAGTTTTAGAATAAATTACAATTATAAATACTCACTGAATGTCTTTAAATGTGTCTTTCTGGGAAGCTAAATATCAAATCTTGTTTCTATTTGCTTGAAATACCAGGAGTTGATAAAATGCAGTTTTTTTATAACATCTCCTCAACATATTTACAAAATACATTGCTTATATATTTTTTAATTACATTGAACTTCTAACAAAACCTTGTGATTCTTCTACAGAATATGCTGCAAGTAGTGGAATTTATGGAAACTTTGATAGAATATTTATCTACACTTTCAATACTTTCTGTCTCATGAAACATTTTTATGAAAGAAAGGCAATTGACAAAATATTTCCCCACTTTTTGAAACATTCTCTATTGAACAAGGGGTGATATCCTTCATAGCATTCTTTTTTTCCTTTTTTTTTTTTTGGCCCAAAGACTTCTATTCTCAAAGGAATTCTTTAAAAAATTCTTCAGTTGGAGTAATTCATTTAAAAGTAAGTCTCATAACCCCTTCATGGAGTGCAAGACTCAAAGCTGTGTGTTAAAGCTGTGTTGTCATTTTCATCTATACTTTGCTAAATACGTAAAGTTGGGACCACGGACAAATGAGACATTGGCTCATCAACCCTTGGACATGAGGTAGGAAGCTGTAAGAATTTATGATTTCAATGTTTTTGAGAAATCATAGTCCAGGGTTGATTAGTGATATAAAATTTATTTATCTTCTTAATTTTTGCCAATCCTGAGTAAAATGATTATGTTAATACTCTCATTAATTCTGCTTTAAAAAGTTCCTATCTTGGCACATAGAGCCCAATCAATAGTTACTGAGTGAAAATCACTAACAAGAGATCTCTTGTTAATCTTTTCTGAAATTTGGAAATGTATCATATAGTTGCATAAAGTGTAGGGCATAAGAGAACACAAAAGTATCATGCCAATTGTTTAAATTACATGAAGAATAAACAAATACAGACTCCACCCTGCAGTCGTATTGCTTTCAAGAGTACCCTGGAGTCAGCTAACATTGGTTATCTTCATTTCCAAGATAACCAGACTATGCAGGATGAAACCTTGCTGATTTTAATTACCATGTATGCTTGTTAAGGGACTTTAAATATAAGCCTCTTGGCTCTACACTTCTACAAACAGCTTGTATAGAAAACAGAGATGACTTCTTTTGTACGTTTCTGAATCCAATGGCTAGAGTTGTGCTAATTCATCATGTTTTTTTTTTTTTTAAAGATTTTCTATATTTGATGATTAGTTGATATTCAAATACAGCACTATATAGTTTTGTCCTTTGTTTATTTGTTTCTTCAACAGCAGATGTAGACAGTAATAAAAATACATTTCAGTTTCCATTGAGTTCAGTTAGTTTCATGGAAGAAAAATTGAAATTTAAAAGATTTCAGTGTGATAGTTCAGAAATGTAGAAACAATAGGATAAAACGAAATTCAACTCATTCATTCTCTACAGACATCAATCTATAATACAATCACCAAAATGTTATCCAGGTAGCTTTTACTTTCTCCTATTAACATATCATTTTTTGTGGGATTTCAGAAGTAGTTTGGGTCAAGGACTTAGTATTAACCAGTCACACATCTTCATCCCCTTATGCAAGGCCCTATAACAGGAGAATCATTCCTTTTTTAAAAAAAATATTTTTTTTTATTTGTAGATGGACACAATATCTTTATTTTTCCATTTTTTATGTGGTGCTGAGGAACGAACCCAGTGCCTCACACATGCAAGTCAGGCATTCTACCACTGAGCTATAGCCCCAGCCCATTCCTTTTTTTTATATTTATTTTTTAGTTGTAGTTGGACACAATTATTTATTTATATCTGGTGCTGAGGATGAAACCCAGGGCCTCACACATGCTAGGAGAGTACTCTACCGCTGAGCCACAACCCCAGCCCCAGAGCATCATTCCTTTTTTGCATATTTTACATATAGGTAATCCCACCTCTCCTATCACTGTATCTGGTGGAGGAGAATGATGTGATGATGAAGGCTTGTTCTCTGTTGTGAGATTAACATGAGTCACTCTTAGTAGTTACTATGACATCAGGCAAGTTCTTGATCCTTTCTAACCCCCATATTTTCATCTACACAGCGGCAACAAGAATAGGGTCTGCCTCTTAGAGTTGTTATGTATATTAAATGAGACATAAATGCCACAGAGGGGGAATAATAGTTATTATGTTTATTGTGAATGCCCAGTAACTACCTGGCATATAACAGTTACTCAATTTGTATTGTATTGAGTGAAGACAAGAAAGACAGGACACTTTTTTACTGCTCTAAATAGCACATGTGAACAAAACATGTAGCTGTAGATCTTTCAAGTAATTGAATGCTTACATAATGCTGCCCCTGGTCCACTGTGATGACAGTAGAAACCATTACCATACCAAGCCCACTATTTAGAACATATTGTATTATATTTTTAAAGTCAATATATTTTACTTGTCTAAATTTATGAAATTCTTTTGAATTAAATATTTAGTTTAAATGTTTTTGTGCCATCCTTTTATATTGTATACTCATTTTTCTCCTTAAATTTGAAATAATACTCAAATATTTGATGGAACTGAAATAATAAATTGGGTTGCTATAAAGCATGATCGCTCACATATACAGATATCAAATTTGTCCTTTCATAAGAAAGTCAATAAACGAAAATAGAAAAAGTAAACAGAGCTTATTGAAAAACAGGAAGTGTGACTGTGATACCTAAGAGGTACTTAGTATGTTTTCATCTCTTCTTTTCCTCTATACAAATGTATAATAATCCTGAAAATCAGTAAGCAGAAAGGTGGTCTCAAATTGTGTGAAAATATTTATATTCTTGAAATTACCACCTTGGATGTGTTTTGTTATACCATCAACATGGATTATATCTATATATATATTGTTACACATAGTGATTAGTTGTTAAGTGGTATCATATGGTTCATAGGTTAGGTATTAGATCCTAACCTATAGTTCATAGGATCTAATACCTAACCTATGGTTCATAGTTTAGGATCTAATACTTTACCTGTTAAGAGTGAATATCTTGGGACTGGGGATATAGCTTAGTTGGTAGAGTGCTTGCCTCACATGTATAAGGCCCTGGGTTCAATTCCCAGCACCACAAAAAAATATAATGTGAATCTGAGAATTTCTCAACAAAGGTTTGTTGAGAAGTCAAATTACACTGAACCTAATATCCTCTGCTTATTTTGTCTATTTTTTATAATGCATAAATACTTAAGGATGCCAGAATCTATATTTTAAGACTTTACATGTTAATTATTGCCAAATGGTAGGAATTAATATTCTTTTAATTGGTGGATTTATTTTAAAATTCAAATGACAAGATTTGAAACTGTGATAACACATAGGCTCATAATATTTCTTGTATTTGTGAATCTTTATTTCACCCTGTGTGACATAAAGAAGTATAAATAGAAACAAAATATTGACAACAATTTAAAATGTGTATTTCTAACAATCTGATTAATGTCTTTATCCCATTTGACACAATTGTTTTCTATATTTGAACATGAAGTTGAAAAAAAATGAATCAAAAAATGAGAACACCAATTTTATCCATATAGTGTATGGATATATAGACACACACATGCAAGGTAGAGTAAAATGAATAAACTTTAGGGTGATGCTAACCACATCTTCATTCAGAATATTTAACTATTTATTTTACTTACAGTGAAAATAGTTGAATTAATTAGTCTAGTAGGAATCACCAAATCGGAAGCAAATAATACACAGATTCCACTTTACATTAAACATGAAAAAAGGCATGCTAAAAGATGTTTTTTAAGAATTAAAATTCTGCCAGGCATGCTCCAACCTGCCTGGTGAAATTTTAATTCTTAATGTAATCTCAGGTACTCAGAAGGCTGAGACAGGAGGAACTCAAGTTCAAGGCTGACCTCAGGAACTTAGTGAGACTTTCTGTTATGTTTTGGATGTGAGGTATCCCCCAAAAGCTCACATGTGAGACAATGCAAGAAGGTTTGGAGGAGAAATTATTGGACTGCAGCCTTAACCTAATCAGTGAATTAATCCCTCATGGAAATAACTGAATGGAAACTGGAGGCAGATGGGGTGTGGCTGAAGAACATGGTTCATTGTGGGGCATGACTATGGGGTATATATTTTGTGTCTGGAAAGTAGAGTCTCTCTCTCTGCTTACTGATCATCATGTGAGCAGCCTCCCTCTGCCTCACTCTTCCGCCATGATCTTCAGCTTCATCTCCAGGCGTTCTATGAATGGAGACTCCTGAAACTGTGAGCCCTCAAATAAACTTTTATTCCCTAAAATTATTCTGGTCAGATCATTTAGTCACAGCAGTGAAAATGCTGACTAAAACATCCTCAGCAGCTTAGCAAGATCCTGTCTCAAAAAATAAAAAAATTCTGGGGATACAGCTTAGTGGTAGAGGACCCTTGGGTTCAGTCCTCATTACCACAAAAATAAATAAATAAGAATTAAAATTCCAATAGAAAATTTTCTCATTAAGTAAAAATGTAAATCCTGTAAGGCAGGAATTGAAGGTTTCAGTATGTTTATATCATAAAGGTCAAAAATGTAATACATGATTTAGGAGGTAATGTGGGAAGTCTTTTATATTAAATTATTTAGGAAGAAAAAATCATAACTATTTCTCTCAGTTGATGCAAATTATTTTGGATCTAATAAAGCATATAGCTTGGGAACAAGAAAGTCATTTTTGTTCATGAGCTACTTGGCACTTGAAGTCTTGAGATATTTGCAGAGGAAAATTTTGCTTAATGATAAGGTTGTTAGAAGGTAAATAACTAAAAAAGTTTGCTGGAATAGCATTGTTACTGTGAATTATTCTGGCAAGCATAATAATGATGCTTAGATAACATATCATGTAGTATGATCATTTATTTTAAAATACAATAAGTTGGAATAGGACCATGGTAATACTACTAAATTCTGTACAACTCAATAGATGGTCTGTTGAGTATAAGCAATCAAAAAGTAGAAATATTTGTAAATCTGGGTGAGCAACTGAAACATAATCTGTAAAAAATGTTCTAAGTAACATGCTTACATCATACATCAAAAGTAGAGTTAACTTTATGTACGCATAATATTTTAAGAAGAGTATTTGTTTATAAGTTAAAATTTTTGATTTTTCCCAAAAAACAATGATGGAATCAAAGGATTTTTATATCAGTAATGTACTATATGTACCAAGTGATAATTTTTGAATTTTTAATTCAAATCATATTACTGAAAAAAGATGGAGTAGTTGACATCAGTACTTTTCCATTTATATTAAATTTTCCCTCTTCTGGAAATATATTTAGTTTTTACCTCCTTGTTCCTGAATTTAGTGAGCTATGGCCTATGGCCATATAACTTGCTTTTGTTTTCACTAAGGAAATATGAGAATAATGTGTCACCTGTGGAATTGTAAGATAATATGTGGCATTCTCTCTCCCAGAGACTCCAACATAAAAGATGAATACTACCACATCAGTCTGAGTTTTAGAGTGAGGGAATATGGAAGAGTCTTGCTCATCAGCTAGCAACAGTTACATAGCATAAGCAAGAAAAAAATATTTGATGTCAAACGTCACTAATATTATTTGGGAATTGTTTTTTTCTGCAGCATAACCTGGCCTACACTGATTTGTGTAGATATTTTATTGTTATATCTGGGGAGGTAGGCATAGAGTACAGGGTAAAGGATGTAAATATGGAATGCTGCTTGGATTCACATGCTAGTTCTGAAATGACTTGTTGGACATCAGTGTGGAAATTTTACCTCACTTTTCTGTGCCTGAAATAGTTCAACTGTGGAATGAAAATAACAATAGGATTTGTCTTGAAATGTTGTTGTAGTATTTATGATTATACAAGTTAACACATAGAAAGCACTTAGTGCTTTAAGCATGTAGCAGCACTCAGTAAATATTAGCCTCTATTCTCTCCACCCAGAAGAACTATGATCTTTTGCATTTGCTCATGTTTAAATGTTACTTAATCATTACTCATAACTATCAAAATCAAGTTAGAATTTTAGTAATTTATTTTTTGAAAAGTAACTTACCCTTGGATGATGTATATGTGATATCTCCCCAATTCAACAGAATGTGTGATAATAACAACATTAGCAGTGTAATTTTGGGCAGGTCATTTATTTTGCATTTCAGTTTCCTTTGCTTGCAAAAGGGTATTCAGAGTAGCAGCTACCTCACAGGCTTTTATGAGGATTAAAATATTCAAAATATGCAAAGCTTTTAGAACACTATCTGACAATGGGAGTCAAAAATGTTAGCCATTATTACACTGCAGAATGATTCAGAGATAGAATATGTTGGGGAGGAGACATATGGACCTTGGTTTTTCTCCTCATACCCATAAGCTGAGCAAAGAAAGAGCACTATGGGTTAAGAACCTAAAGTGATTAAAGGCATGTAGACTTGAGAGTAGAAATAACATAGCCTGTTTGTGGAACAGCAACAGAGATAAATCAGGCTGCAAATATCGGATTCAGATTTTCTTATATGTGTTTTTTTTATGGGAATTATTCTACCATACTTTTGATACATAACAAGTAGAAGAAAAGGAAATAGAACAAAGATTTTATAACTCATTAGGTAAAAATATATCTGAAATATTTTGAGGCAGGCATTTTAAACTCAATAAAATATACAATAATATATATTATATAACTGAAAGAAAGAAACGTCATAAAGAAGGAATACAGTCTATTCCAATTACCAGAGTGGATTATTACTCTAGTAAGAATAATTTTGTATAGATAGCAAAAGGGAAAATATTTTTAAAATTTATTTTTAAATAAGATACATACAACTGCCTCTTCTATTGATGTAATTTATTATTTTACTTTTTTGCAATTTACCCAAATGAATCACTTAATTTTTATTCTTCAGAAATTGTAACTGCAGAAAGTTAGAAATCAGTGAAAAATAAAAAGAAATTAAAAAGATAATCATCAAGAAAAGCAATCTTTTGACTCTTGCTTCAAACTGTTTTGAAGCATTCAAAACACAGGAGAGAAAAAAGAATTGCAGTGTAGATCAGATAATGTTTATCTGAAAAATATGTTTCTTACAATGAAAGAGCAATGAACAACCTGGGACACTAGGTTTGCCATTCCATTCTAGAGGAATAACATTGCTGAGAGAATGGCAGAAATGGAGCAGGTGGCAAGGAAAGAGTTATAACATTTGATCTTTCTCTTTCCTTCATTCATTTTTATTTTTTTGTTTATTTATTTTTATGTTTTGTACCAGGGTGCTTTTACCTAGTACTAAGATATCCCCAGTCCTTTTTTTTAATGTTTTATTTAGAGACAGGGTCTCACCGAGTTGCTTAGGGCCTTGCTAAGTTTATGAGGCTGGCTGCAATCCTCCTGCCTCAGCTTCCAGAGCCCCTGGAATTACATATAGAAATTTTAATAGCAGTGAAGAGCTATTTTGAGGAAATGATTTAGGCTGTATGGCTTAATGAGCATGTCTCCCTGAAAAATGTTAGAAGGTAGGACATAAAATACAGATGTTTCACATGAAACACCTTCTGCTATGTGATGTAAGCTCACAAAAACTCTTTTGGAGATCTGACCTGTTACTCTGGAAGAGAGGTGTATGCTCAGCATAGAGGGATCCTTGTTTTCTGAGCTTCTTAATCCCCAGAACCTTTGAGATGCTCAGTAGAGCTTGACATGAGGTAAGGTCTTTGATTTGTGTGAATCTAATTTGACAATCCAATACTCTATTTTAGCTCATCTGTATTCAATATTTTTTTCATTAAATACCAACAATACTTTCCCAATGTTTACACAGCATTCTGTTAGATGCTTTTCACTTTTAAAATATTTTAATTTTTTAAAAAAATTTGCTTTCTAAAGCTTATAATCAGATAACAAAATATTGGAACAGTTATATATAGTTATGTCTATGCATATATAAAGTTTGACTCATGCTGAAAATGTATTTTTGAAATTGACAGTACAGTTTTTAAGAGTCTAGGCAATTTTCAGTATCCTCTCTTTAGAATTAATGTAGCTATAACCAAAAGGCAATCAGTTATAGAGATTTTTTAAGAACATAAATCACAAAATAAAGTTTCATAAAAATTTTTACTAGAAATAGAAATTAAATCAGAAATCTACATTAAAATATTAATTTCTTAAGAAATAACTAAACCATGGTAAAGAAATTAACATTTATTTCCACATAAGGTTATTTGTTATGAAAGAGTTAAACAGCAGTTTTTTTCAGATCAGAAATCTTGTCAGCCTTATTAAGAAGAAAGTGCTAGAAAGAGCCTGAGTATGAAGGTATGACATTTATTCACTCTCCCCAACATTTACATTCAAAATTTATTAGTACACATGTCTTTCAGACTGCTCATGAAAATTAAACTAGCAGCTATTTTCCATATAGGAGTAATGGAATCCTTCATCTTTGGAGTCATATTTTCAAAAACATGGAAACTTTAAAAAACCAAACTAAATCTTAGAGTGACTTATAGGCAGCATTGTTTTACCCTTGCCATTACTAATGTTTTCCTCCATCAGAATCAAATTAGCATTCACTTGCCATCGTTTTTCCCAGAGTCATGAAACTTGCCCTTTCTTTTCTCTAAGACTGCCTATGCTTCCTACACCTGTGCTCCTCCTAATCAAGTTCCTTTTTTACAAAGACAACTTTAACATGAGAAAATTCTCATTTTGTGTGTGTGTGTGTGTGTGTGTGTGTGTTTGTATATATACAGACTGACCATGATGTTTACAAATTAAAGATACAAACAGTTTTCAGATAGTAAAAACAGTCATCATAAAATATCTTATTATCCTTTGGGCCTCTGTTGATTGACTTTTTGTAATGTGCATCCACATGCAGCAAACCATAAAATAGATGGAGATAAGCTTTTAAAAAATAGAGGTAAGAGAAGATAATAAAGGATAGAATTAAAATGATGCTTATATTTTTCTTCCTTTCTCCATTTTACAGCCTGTTTTATTCTTCTCCATTATATAAATCAAGATATACAACATGTCATTTGGAACATATATGACATTCTAATGCTCATTAGTATGAAGAATGATTCTTTTGAATGGAGGAAACACATCAATCTATTCACTGACATTTGGGCTTATTTTAACTAAATATATCAAATGAAATTAACATATGCTTGAAAATGTAAGCTAGTGTTACTGTTTTGTTTTTTAAGGTGCCAACATATCACATTGACATTTACTGTTACCAAAAAGAGCATCAAGTGAGATATAGCCCTTTTTGAGAATTTTTATATGAGAAATTAAAATTTGATGGGGTTTCATTTGGAGAATCAAATAAGGAGAAATAAGAATAAAATACAATGTAAAAAGCATTCCTATGTTAAATCTGGAGATGCCTGCCTCTGGTTTTAAGTTAAACATGGAAAGAAAACTATTTTGTTTTGCACATAAATATTTAACACAAAATCCAATTAGGTAATTAAGGAAAATTAGTAATTTTGAAAACTTCAGCAAGTAAGACTACATGTCATAATAAAATTATGCACACACACACACACATATATATAACATATATTAGAGTCTCACTTAAAACTTAAAACATAGCTATATGTCATGAACCTAAATGAAAATTTTAAGTACCTACATTTAAAAATATGGTAACAACATTAAATAAGTTTATATTTAAAGACATGACTAAATATTCAGAATGAGTTAAAATAATGATAAAATATGTTAATGATTATTAAACTTACTAGAAATTGTGTCCATGGCTTTCCTTAATTCCTTCTCTATTTGAATAAATAATTCCCCTATTATATTATAAAATAATCTCCTTAATACATATAATAAAGACCTTAGTTTGGCACAGCAGATATCATTCACATGATAAATGTTTATCATTGCAACTTTCCATAGTCCATAAAGAACATTTCAAAGAAATTTAACCTTTAATAATATATAACACATAATAATACATATGTGCATACATAACCAATACATACTTTCAACTGCATTCTGTAGTCATTGGCATTGAAATCAAGAAAACAAAACAAAACCCTGACTTTTGATCTGGACAATCTATGGCTTTCTCTTGTTGGAAAAGTCATGTGAACTTGAAAAGGGCACTATACCTTTTTAAAGTTGTTTCTTTATTTGGAAAGTCAAGTTGCCTAATCTTTTACTTTGATTTATTGACAGTGAGAGCATTTTGGATGAAAATGCAGGCATAATCATAAAGCGTAATGTTTCCTTTGATCAATAAATACAGATGACGCACTACCTACAAAACCCTCAGATATATCCTCATTTCTCTCCTCTCCTTTCTAAAATAATTAACCTGTTTTGTTATAATAATAACAACTCTTACAACTTTTCTAGAAATAGTAGCAACAATCATGAATCCCTGGTTTTATCCATATTTTCTGTAATGACACAAAACTTGCAAAACAACATTGTAATATTTAATGGAAAAAATGCATAGTTATATTACAATAATTATATAATAAACATTGCAAGAAAAGTTGAGAATATTTCCCCTAGAAATTGAAATCACTGACCCATAAGCATTCTCACTGATGTACATTCAGCATTGATTCCAAAAGGAAGAAAGGGAGAGAGGGAGACAGTGAAAAAGAGGTATATAGAGAGATTGAGTCCAAAACAGCAGCATAAAATAGTTTACTGGTATTAAAAAGCAGTCTTGAAATTGTACCTCTGAGGTAGTTGGCTTATTTAGTCTGTATGACAGTTTATGTATGACAGTTTATGCTACCTTGTTTTTGTGAAAATAGCATTCTTGACTTACTCCTCTTGCAAATATGTTTTTATCTCTGTAGCCTAGTCAAAATATCATATTTGTATTCTTTCTTCTTCAAAAGACTATTGACCATTGAAATTAATCAACATCTTTATCTGGCAAATGTTTTACTTAAGATGATGGAGTTTTTGCATTATCTGCACTAAAAAAAATGTCATACTCAAAATAAGACAATTAAAAATGAGATAAAAATAATAAACTATGAAAACAATTGGAGAAATAAAAAATGTTTTTGTATCTTGGATTCTAAAAGGATGCTTTAAGGGGTGAAATCAACAAAAGCACATATCATGTGGCAGTATAAATAAATACATTTATAGTTTTATTTAATAGCATGGTTTATGCCCAGCATCTGATTATTCATATTATATGTTACATAATAACTCAAATAATTCAATAAATTGTGTATTTCTGAATGTTACCATCATTAACCATGGCTATTTCATGGCTTGTATGTGAAATAGAAAATGTGCTGTCCTGTCCTGAGCTCTTTGGCTCTCCTATTGTCCTGCACAGTTCCCACAACAGTGAGTCATTCAGAAGTGCCTTGTAGCCACCTGGCTGTTTGATAACTAAAATGAGCTATTATAGAAAGGCAGTAAACAGGAAACAAAAGAAATTGGGGAGCAATACCAAGTTCAGGATACAGAAACCCTTTTATGACACATTAAAGAAACATCTTTCAGTGTGAGGTCAGTAGCCAATAAGCATTTCTTCAACTCTATAAGGTTATGAGTAGGATTTCTTTTTTTTTAATATATACTATAGTTAAGACTCTTCAATACATATTCCATTTGAAAACACTATTTTTATATTAACACAAGAGAAAAGAGGTTTCAGATAAATTAGTTATTCAGTAGGAATTTTCCCACTAAGATGGGAGAAACTAAGGCAATGTTTTCAAACTAATCTACTCTTCATAGAATACATGATGAAAAAAATGAAAACTATCACCAGAGAGACAAATGATATGGATGAGAAGGTTGAGTAACAACATTTACTGCCAAGTGGAATATTACATTTTAGAATATTTGCATAGAGAAGTAATTTCTATATAAAAGTATATTTTTGTTTTTAAAATAGAATAGGAATAAAACAGACAAATATTAGTTGACTCTTCATCAAAAGTTTGTGTGATTATTTACAAATACAAAAAGTATAAAGTATCTGGAATGAAAACATTTTTGTATCACATATTCTGAGAAACAGTTAACATATAGAATAATAGAAAAATTCATTTTACTCATTGTTTAATGTCACAGATTAGTAATGCATTTCTTGTGGTCAAATAATGATTTAGCCTAGGTTGAAATATGTACTGGTTTAAATAAAACTTCAGTGCATGTAGGATTCCACAGGGCCTTGAAAAGAAGAAAACAAAAAAGAAATGAATGATAAATTAATAAAATGAAATGAAATTTTAAATGAAGATTTAAAACATTTAAATAAAAACAGACCAACATAAAACCATTGTTAATGATTTTTCTAGTAAAAATTATTATTAATATTTGTAAAGAATATATTAATAATGTTTACAAACTCCCAACTTCTAATTAAATATATTTTACTACAAAACATAATATGGAAAACAGAAGAAAATAAGCAATATTTTATTTCTTTGGCTTTGTATGTAGGTTCAAAAATAACAATTTCACTCAACTCTTAATGCATTCCTCAAATAGAAAACTTCAAGAAAATAAAATAATAGGTAAATCTCACAAGGCTCTCCTGATATTTCTGTAAAATACTGTTACCATTCAAAGTCCTAAATACAAAACTCCAAGAAATTTTTTTTTATTCTGCAGCAATTATTATTATGATCCTTAAATCACTGAACTTCATCAAAACTGTAACAGGTAATTAAAACAATTCAAAATAATTCACTCTATTTTTAAAAAGAATTCCACTTTGAAAGGTAATACGTATGAAAAGAAATACAATATCTAAGAAGTGAATAGTATGCTGCCCACTTGCATGGAATGTGCAATTTTTGTTGGAGAAATATAAGTGAATATAGGAAAAGATGAATCATCCTATGTAGCAGTAGGTTGTCAAAATATAAGACATGTCAATATTTTAAAAAGATAAAAATACATATGTCTGGTAAATGTAAGAAGGTAGGTCAAATATGACTGAAAGTTGATAAAGAGATAAAACGGTTCAAAAATAAAGTCTAAACAACTGAAACAAAGAATAGCAGTCTTTACTGAAGCAGTTTAGGTGGAAGCAGTTTTGTTTGAAAAGAGAAAGAGATAAAATCACATAAATAGTAAAGGGCAGTATTCTAGCAGTCATGCATGCTGGTTAGAGGAATGTGGTTTGTCTTTTAAAGCTTCCTGAGAAATTTCGTATGTGTGTGAGTTTAATTACAAGCATAACATGATGTTGTGTACTTGTGTTCATTTATTTACAGGTTTATGTATAGTGCTGTATAGATTGAAATAGACCTGTAAGTAAGAAGACAAACTAAAACCAATGTGAGGAAGCCCTAAAGCACCAGGCACTACTGGAAGGCCATCATTCTTGGTGATCTGATTTCTGTTGTCAAGATGCTCTTTGTGGTTATGTGAACTGCAGCTCTATCTCAAGTGCAAGATCCTTAGAAAGGTATTCCTGAGCTTTTCTAGCCCCTTCTGTTCTCCCTTGTTGCTCATAATCTCACCTTCTTGCTTTCTGTCTTAATGGTCCTTATCACTGTTTACAGTTCTTTTTTAGTTTCTTTTTTTTTTTCATTGCTTGTCTTTATTCACCATAATAAGAGGCTTTTGTAAACAGGTAATTTGCGTGTCTGTTGTTCACTTCTATACTATCAGTTCCTGGACCATATTTTTTGTGACTATAAATGACGAAGGGATGATATACTCAGGACCATAACCACATGTTACACACAGAGGTAGGTGTGTATTTGAAAACCAAACACATTCTATTTTTAAAATACAAAGACCTACAAAATAAAAATTATTTAAAAGATAAAAGACTACATAAACATTAAGGTGATGCCTATTATTCAGTGTCTGTTGTACACATGCAATTTGAATAAATGTGAAAAGTCAGAGGGAATATATCCCTCTATTCTTTTATGTAATTTAAAAATCAGGATACTCAGTTTCCAGTACATTTCAAAGTTCCCTACTATTCATATATTACATAAAATTTTAACCTGAATCCATCTTTTAATATAATTGAAAAAAGCTGGTAGAATGAAGGGAAAAATACCATAATATGTTGAATGTGTTCAAAGACACAAATGTCACTAAAACACATGATACTAACATTTTTCTTTCCGTAAAAGTTTATAATGTTCTAGGATTGGCCACATAAGAAGGGTGAACAAGTATGATATTTCTGTGTTATTTTTAGTTGCCAGAATATGAAGAGGACTTCAAGGAAATAAAGATAATAAACAGCTTTCACTGACTACTCCATATTAACAATGATAATTTGAAAAATAGGATTCCTTTTATGTTTAACTGCTCTGGGGATATTATAAATTAAGAAAATCAGCCAAAAATAAATTAATATTTGTGAGCTTTAAAGTATAATGCATTCAATATATTTTCATATTAGATACTCTCCAAAAATTAGCATTTATTTTTAATAATTTACTTTAGAAGACTCAAATATTTGTTTTCTCAAAAATTAAATACCAATACAAACATAATTTCATATTCCTTATAGCAACAAGAATTTGCTTTTTTAAAAAAATATATTTTTACACTGATATTACATTTTATTATTTTAAAGGTACATATGTTCATTGAAAAATGTGACAAAAGAGATAAGCATTAAAGGAGGAAACAAAATACCACCAAACAGAGATGATCACTATAACAACCTTTGTGTATTAATTTTTACTTATTTTTTTCCAAAATAAGACCATATAGTGCATGACGTTTTTTACATTACTGTACTTGGGTTCTCTCCTCCTCCTCCTCCTCTCTCTCTCTCTCTCTCTCTCTCTCTCTCTCTCTGCCTGTAATGACCTTTATTTGCCCATGTTAATAAGTTTCATCTAGTAGCAATTCTTGTTAAAACTTCCTCAAATGTCCAACAAATACATGTTACTGTTGGACTGCCCAACTCCAGATTTAGTCCAGGACTGTGCATGTTTTTAATTTTCCTGTAAATAGGGAAGACTTTTCCTTTAATGGGAAAACTTCTAAGTCCTAAGAAAAATGGGAAGATGTGCCATCAATACCCACATAGCCCTCACCTAGTTTCACTAATGGAGTGCTCACGGCTGCTTTCTGTGAGCGTGTGTGTGCATGTGCGTGCATGTACGAATGCATGTAGGAGGTTTACATTTGTCATTTTGTCTCTTCAATCCAATGGAGAAAGTTACCTGATTTTTAATAGCATTTTCTTTTAAAAAGGTACCATATCAGTTGTTGCACAGAATTGCAAATCTTTTATCCATGCACCTCTGGGTTTGCTTCATGCACAATGAAAGTTAGGCTTGTAAACATGAAATGGTTTCAGGTCAGCAATTTTTAGCTATTGCTTTAGAGTCTTCCAGTGGACAAGCTTAATGAGTATATGAGTTTTTGAGTGTTTTTATGTTTATTTTAGTATATGAAAAAGGGAAAGGTGGAAGAAAAACAACTTTTAGAAATGTAGAAGACCACACAATCACATCATCTAAATCATGCTTATTTTATGGTTCATGTAAAACATAAATTCCTGTAGTTCCATATTTCAAAACTCACAACAGTAAGCTATACTTCTGATGTTATTGCAAAGAAGAAAAGTTTATCTTTCAGACTTAGTGCTTGTACCTTTCCCATTAATTACAAAAGACCTCTAAGTAGCTTTTTTTTTTTTTTTTTTTTTTGGTACAAGGGATTGAACACCAGGGTGCTAAACCACCAAGCCACATCCCCAGTCCTTTTTTATATTTTACTAGAAACAGGGTCTTGAGGAGTTGCTTAGGACCTCCCTAAGTTGCTGAGGCTAGCTTTGAACTTGGGATCCTCCTACCTCAACCTCCTGAGCTGCTGGGATTACAACATAAAGCCATGTATAAAATTGTTTTTCCCTTTAGTGCTCTCTGGTTATTTAAAATGCATCAAATTATAATTATCAAATCATTTTGCATCTTTATTTCGAAACACTAATTATCTAAATATTTCAGTGTTTTTTTTTCCCCCTAAAATCAAATCAGATCTTTCACTGGCAAAAGATCTAAACCATGTATTCTTACATCCCAAAACATGAATCAAATATCTGAAAACCTTTTTGATGAACAAAAACCATTAAGGGGGTAATTGTCTTTACAGAAATTATCCCTTTTTGTGTTCCTAAACAAATCTCCAGTAGAGTTGTCAAAGCGAACAGAGTTCTACTAAACAGGAAAGCTGAAGGGAAAAATTAATTAATTAAATTTGACAGCCCACTGAAACAAAGACTCAGCCATGATATAACAGAGAAGCTAGGATTCAGAGTAGCGTGAAAAAGAAAATAACTGTCATACATATAACATGGTAAATTTGGTACTATTATTGTTTTAGAATGTCTAATAGTTTTAAAATTGTTGCCTGTTGAAAGATTAATTTTTCTAGAGTTAAATTTGACTATTGTCTTTAAAATAAGCCACTTTAAAAGTAATTTTTATCAAGTATTATGAAGTTGGGCCATAAATATGCCCAGTCAATAGCTGCATAAATATGGTTTAATCACATTAAAATTTAAGCAACCATTTTACACATTTATGTGGTATGATTTCCATTAAATCTTATTATATTCATAGAAAAAATAATAGATTCATGCCTAATAACTTCTATAATATGAACAATATAGCAAATAAAGTAGATTTTTTTGTAGTCCTATGTCATATCATACAGTTTTGTGTGTCTTTGTATTTGTTTATTTACAGAGTATGCATTTTGATGTGCATACACACATGCACACACATATTTGAGGTAATATGAAATATATATATATATCAAATACATATAATTTGAAATGATACAAATATATTTCAAAAATATATATAATTTGAAATATACAAACATATTTCAAAGATGAATTTGCTTTTGCAGATTTTTCTGAATATAGACCATATCAAAAGAAAATAGCACTTTTGATGGCAAAGAATTCATATAAAATAAATCCACAGAGATTTACTTTAAACTTGTACCTGATCAAAGTCTTAGAACTATTTAATACCTATTCTAATTAGCTATGATTGCATAACATACCGTAAATAGGCACTGAGAAATTAGGAATCTATACTTTGTGTTTTTCCCCCAAAGAGGAGCAAAACTTCCTTCAGAATGGCCTCATTATGCAATGCCCTTTAGCACACTATTTACTGGAAAAAACTTCTAAATTCAAAGGAAATATTAGAATATTTTGGAAGTAA